AGTACTGAAAAAAAATACTAAAGCTGCTATTTATCTCTGAATAAATATAATATAATATAGCTATTGATTTTATAGTTTTTTTATCTGAAAGTAAAGATTTTATAAATATTCTGATTATTATCAATTAACTCAGTAAAGATATAATACTACAGCTCTGTAATAAAATAAATATTGAAATTATTATAGATATCTTCATCAGAAGTTCATTTTATTATATATACAGTCTATTTTTATTTATTATATTAAATAGAGATAGTCAATTTATTAGTGCATTCTGAATCTGTATATATTAATTACTGAAAATCAAATAAAAATTGTCAATAATATATTATTTAAAGATTAATAAAACTACTGAGAGAATGATACAGATAATTAAAAATATTCTCTAAAAATTCTATAATTATATATAAAATAACTGAAGTAATCTGCTGCTGTATACTGAGATTACTATAAATAACTGAGATTCTACTACAATAGATATAAATCTGTTTTTTCTTTTATATAATTATAATTTAGAAATTCTGAACTTCTCTGAAACTTTCTGAGAGATTATATATATCTACAGTTCTGTATAAACAGTAGAGAATATAGTCAGTAAATTTAAAAAAGTTTATAAATAAGCTGAAACTTCAATAATTAGTATTTAGTAGAACTATAAAAATTAAATAAATATCAGAAGAAATTCTACAATTCAATATAATATAAAAAATAAAATTTAATTAAATCTCAGAAATATAAAAACAGATCATTTTTTATATATACTGAATTATTATTATATTAAATATATAGTAGTAGAAGTATTAGATACTCACAACTATCAACTGAATACTTTATCTAATATTTATAATATTTTTTATATAAATCTGCTTTAATTTATGATTAAGAATTTATTTTTTTTATAAAAGACTTTCAACTGACAATTATCTGTTATTATAGAAGAAGATAATAAACTCAAATAAGAAATTGAAATAATTTTCAATAATAGAATCAATTATTACTATTGTAAATATTTTATCAAATAAATAGAATATAATTATTCAATCTGAGAATCTGTATTTATTATAAAAAACACTGCTGTATTTAACATCTATAAATTCTTACTCATCTCAGTAGAGAGAAATAATATAATAAATTAATATTTATTAACAGTTAACTTACACAATCAATTCTCTACTGTATATTTATATATTTATATATATTTATAAAGTTCTTCTATATCTTCTCACAATTCTGTCTTATAATTGTGTACATTTTAATACTCTAATAATTTTTTTATTTTATATTTTTTCAGAATATAATTTTCAATATTTCTTCTGTTTCAATCTTTTTATCTATAAGAATCTTTTTATACAATCTCTTTCTCTAATCTTCTTTTTCTTTCTTTTCTTAATTGATTTATAAACTATTATTAGAATAGTGTCAAATTCATTGATAATGCTGTTGAAATAGATTGTACAAACTGTGTAGATAATACAAATAGTTTAATCTGCAATATTGATAATATCTGCTTAATTAATAGTATATCTATTATATATACAGCTGAGGCAGAATGAAGTAAGAAGCTCAGAAAGCTATACTCTTAGATATTATATATATCATTAATAAATATAATTGCTATATATATATCATCACTAGATATTATTAATATATTATTGCTAGATATTATGGCAGATTTTATTAGCAGATTTTATTAATAAATATTATAAATAAATATTATTCATTCAGACAGATCAGTAGATAGATAAGTAGATAATCAGCTAATTATTAAAAATAAAATTTTATAATATCTGATATAATTTCAGTACTTTCTTGAGCACTGTTTTGCTTATATAATTGATCATTACTCTTCTTATGAATACTGTCTGTTTATCAGAATTATTATAGTCAATTCAATTTTCTTTTAATATTCAGTATTTGTGTCAATATTCAGACATTATATTGTTTCAATATAGACTGGCTGCTGGAACCATGAATTACATATTTGATTTGATTTGATTTGATTTCAGTTCATTTCTTGACATGATTTTAGTAAAATCAGAATCAGAATGAAAGTGTAAAGTGACTAGAATTATCAAAATATAAGTGAAATGAGACTAAAAAATCTTGATATTCTATATAAAATGACTGACTATCAAAAGTAAGAACATGATCTGAGACTGATTATGATTTTGACTCAAGTTTGATCCCATTCTGATGATTATATAATACATCAATCTGATGATATGATTGGTGGAGATATTACCTCTATCTTGCTTAGTGCTGCTGCTAATCTATCTACCACTGCCAATCTATCTATCACTGCTAATCTACCGCTGCTAATCTATCGCTGCCAACCTACCTACCGCTGCCAATCTACCTACCACTGCCAATCTATCTATCACTGCTAATCTATCGCTGCTAATCTATCGCTGCTAATCTATCGCTGCTAATCTATCACTGCTAATCTATCACTGCTAATCTACCTGCTGCTGCCAATCTATCTATCACTGCCAACCTATCTATCACTGCTAATCTACCGCTGCTAATCTATCGCTGCCAACCTACCTACCGCTGCCAATCTACCTACCACTGCCAACCTATCTATCACTGCTAATCTACCGCTGCTAATCTACCTACCGCTGCCAATCTACCTACCACTGCCAACCTATCTATCACTGCTAATCTATCGCTGCTAATCTATCGCTGCTAATCTATCGCTGCTAATCTATCACTGCTAATCTATCACTGCTAATCTATCGCTGCTAATCTATCGCTGCTAATCTATCGCTGCTAATCTATCACTGCTAATCTATCGCTGCCAACCTACCTACCACTGCCAACCTACCTACCGCTGCCAACCTATCTATCGCTGCCAATCTATATAGGGTAAATCATGGTCCCATTTTACAAAATGGGACCAAATGGGATCAGAATCACTAATTTATTAGTAAAACATGATCTGAGACTAGATTTATAATATAAACAGTGTAAAGTGACTAATTTGCTAAACACTATATGGGACCAGGACTAAGATATCTAATAATGGAACTGAGGAAAAATTTGGTCCCAGTCCCATGCATGGTCACACAGCCAGTCTATTCCGACAGCATATTACAAAACAGAAATGATATATGTGGATTTGATGATAAAGATAAGAAAAATGTGTATTCAAATCATATTTGAATGATTCTAGAGATACATCGATATTTAAGCTATTTTTGCGATGTTTTGCTACTAATTTTCAATACAGGGATGGAAAATTATGTTTATACAGGCTTTACATCCACCACAATGTTTTAATAAAAACTGCATCTGCCACTTGCTATCTTATCTGGTAATATGCACCGCTCACAACCCATATCTCTACATGTTGTATGCCCAGTACAGTGAACATCAGCACAAGGTATAATCCGATGTAGTAATGAATGATGTCTTATTGGAGAAAATATGCTTTGACTCTTCTGTAAAAGTGGGAGAGGATAAAGATCTGTAGATGGATGCCAAATTACCTTCTCTTCAACCTCAAAGCCATCAATATTATTCCATATATTTAATAAATGATTGTTAATATCTTTTGAATACAAGCTAGCAATAGCTCTCAAATGACTATTATTTAATCTTCTATAGTCAAGAACATTGCCAGTTTCATCAAATGACCGCAATATACCATCATCAGCTAGATGTAAAATCCCATTGGTATCAGTTTCCACACTGGAAAGCATATCATATACATCTCTTTTAATAATCCTGTTTAACTCTGCTGCAATGGTTAGAATATAAATTACTAGCATATTTGAAATGAATATAGAAAATTATGAAAGCATGAATGAAAAAGAATGAAAGAAAAGGGGGAAAAAGCAGAAATGCTCATACCTGATGATAAAGTAGTATTGCCGGTTGCCGGAACTGAGCATACAGCAATTATAAGCAGATTGAAAATGGTTGAAAGAACTGAACTCATGATAACTGAAAAACATGTGCATTTAACCGCACATTGATTTATCTATTTAAAGCGGGATAGCAAGAGTTAACTGCACGTTTAAATGTCTCGCCTGGTATTCGTTTGGCCTACGTGGTCAAAATCTCAGGATAATTAACAGCGTGACGAGAAGGCCCACTAATTACACTGACTTTGCAGCAAGTGGGACCTTGCTGCTGATTTAGAAGGGGATTTGTAGGCGGATAACGTTTTTGTGTTCATTGTTAACTATCTAAGCGAAAGCAACGCAATATGTTGGGTGTTACGTGTTGGAGTAGCCGTAGTAATGCCTCGGAATTTCTTGAAACTCTATGAGAATAGAGCTATATATGGTAATTGAAGTTATAAAGATGATATAGAGGTAAGACAGAAATAACTACGTTGTAGAGATGATTAAACAGTTAAATAGATAGAAATCACTACTGATATATATATATTATAACAATAATTTTAAAGCCCTTTTCTGCCATCAAGAGGTATCGTAATTGCACTGTCTTGCACTATACCTAACGTGATCACCCATCTAACGATCGCTCCCACCTAACGATCACCAATTTACGATTCGACAAGTTGATTAATTTCTACGATATCTCAACAATGCAATCAGATATTAAATGTTAAAAGTATATAAAAATACACCATAAAAATAATAGTCAATATAGTGTACATCTGCTGAGTTTGATATTCCACTCAGAATATACAATTTGCTGTTCAGTAGTACTGAAGTTAGTAAGACAGTTGTATTAATTCCAGTGGCGCTTTCAATCAGATACTTGTGGCATTATAAGTGTATGATAGCATCAGTCAAAATTTTTGAAACCGGTCTCTGTATTCCTAGTAGAAATGTCGATCCCTCAGTGTGGTGCCATCCATCTTCTCCTATGCCTTGCATAGATGTTACACAAACACAGAACGGCATGATTACCTTGCTGGAGTTTTCAACAGATCATCCCTTATGGATGGATGGGGGTAGAAATAAAGGGCACTGGGGAAAGCTGCGCACAAAAGGTGAACAAACAGAAACCAAGTCTTATTATCCTCTTCATTGCGAACCCGGACCGGTATATCCGTTGTCTGGAAGATACAGATGTCGTACTGCCCCCTTCTCCGTCAACACAACCATACGGATCACACCTCCAGAGCTACCATCCCATTTTATCGCCTCTTGTAGTGAGTTCTTCACAAACTCGATCCCTTCCTCTTCCGTCATTCCCTCCCGCCAGTTCGCATCGCAGTAGCCGTAGATATACGTTGATCCGGAACCACCAATGGCGTATGATTGCTTGTGCAGGGAACCGCCCAATGGTATCGAGTATACCTGTCCTCCATGTCGTGCGTCGTAACCCGCGATGATGATTCCTGCGCTATATTGCTTAAAGGTACAGTTAGCATTGGTAAGCTATCGTGACATAATATAAGATAAAAGCTGGTGAAGAAGGCGTGGACGGGAAGGTATTCCTTGCCTGAGAATGTCCTTGTTGTCATAACAAAGTTCCTGGAACAACGCAGCGGCAGTTTGGGTTGTTGGGCGCTCTTGGTTGACTACACCGTACATTCCCAGATGGTAACTGACAATGTCGGCAACAGCCTGTGTATCCGCGGCAGATCCTGACCGACAGCACCAAATGGTATCGTGCACCTGTGTTAACTTATCCGTGACTCGATTTGCGATATAAGCTCCTGTGGTCGTCCGACTATCGGCTCCAAGAATAACACCATCTTTGAAATTGATTGCCATGCTTTTCTCGAGATAATATTAGCAATTCAAACTACCATACTGCTATATATAAGTGGGATGGAAGCTTACATTGAGGTGCCAAGGCTATTGTGCGAGTAACGGGTTAGTTGAAAGCAAAGACCAGATAAATAGGCAAAAAGGTGGCATCAGCCCATACTTGACCTCTCCTTTCTTGAGGTGATTCATGTCAATATGGATCCCATCTACGGCATTGTCAGTTCCACAAATAAGACTCATCGTCAATTCCACAACGACTAACCTTCCCCCAAAATTCCAGTAACCCCATGGACAACCATTGCAACGAAGTGACCTAAACTTGACAGGAGCTTGGAGACACGGGAGCTAGGGACAAACAAATTGCTGGGCAACAGGAAATATGCAGCCTGGAAGATAAAGAACGAGCTCGTTCAAATACGGAGGAAGTGGTTGAAATGAAGTGGTTGGCTGACTCTAGGTGTCTTGATGTTGGATGATAGGATGATGATTGAGGCAGCCAGTCTACGAAATTATTAGCGCCGGCAATTCTAAGCCAGTTATTGGTCACTGCGCTTACGGGTTGTTTATCTCAGTTGATTTTGTCCCTTGGAACCGAAGCCAATTTATTCGCCGTTTCAATTTTCGTGTAGTTACATCCACTTGATTCCGTCTCTTTCCCCCATAACAATGCCTTGCTGCATCTTTGGGTGATTCCCGGTCCGTGCTAATATTTCTTCTACCCAGCGCCCCCAGGGGGGGTCCTCCGCATCGCCTTTGACACTGGCTTATCACAGACCCCACTCACCAAATAGTTGACCAGCTCAACTTTTAACAATTTTACAATCTCCCTGTAGGGACCGAGCAATATGGCTGACTCTCCACCACCACCCTCAACCTGGAATTTTACTACTATGGCTGGGAATGTGGTACAGTTTCTCAGACTTCCAGTGCTGGCATCGTCGGGTTTGGCCATTATCGCAAGTGGTATGCTCTATTTCAAGCAAAAGTAAGTCGCCGACATGTATCGACATTACCAATTTCATCTCAATTGACATTTTTTTTGTTATCAAGTGAAATAATTTACCCTCGTAACGTGCCTATTGGGTCCCGTACTGAGGTCCCCAAACCATCGGATTTTGGGATGAACGACTATGAGGACCTTCGAATCCCGACTCCTGATGGAGAATCTCTCGCTGCGCTGTTTATCCGCCCATCTCATACGCGACATTCCAAGCCTAAAATCACCGTTCTCATGTTTCACGGTAATGCAGGAAATATCGGCCACCGTCTTCCCATTGCACAGGCCTTAGAACAGACCCTCAACTGTAATATTTTGATGCTCGAATATCGCGGCTATGGCCAGTCTACAGGCACTCCCGATGAACAGGGCTTAAAAATTGACGCCCAAACCGGTTTGGATTACATTCGCCGGCGCGCGGAGACAAGCGATACAAAAGTTCTGGTGTACGGTCAGAGTATTGGTGGTGCAGTCGCGATTGATTTGACTGCAAAAAGCCAGCAGCGAGGCGACGTAGCAGGATTGATACTGGAGAATACGTTCTTGAGTGTTCGAAAGATGATTCCAAGGTATGACGGCCATAGTGCTGGTTCATTTAATGTTTTTTACTTACTTGCTTAGTTGCTTCTTTACTTGTTTACTTTATTTTCGATTGTCAGCAGTCTTCAAGGCTAATAAATTACACCCGTTCTCCAGTGTCTTCCCCGCTGCCAAGTACGTTGTTCGTCTTTGTCACCAATACTGGGCTAGCGAGGATACATTACCCAAAATTACACAGGTCCCAATTCTGTTCCTGAGTGGGCTAAAAGATGAAATTGTCCCGTACGTACTTTATTTCCATGTTTCTGTCTATGAGACTCACTATGCTAATATATAGTCGGCCCCTTAGCCCCAGCCATATGGCCCAACTTTTTTCAATCTGCAAATCTAGCACCAAAGTTTGGCGAACTTTCCCAAATGGTCAACACAATGATACCGTTGCTGAACCAGGGTACTTTGACCATATTTATTCATTTGTCGTGGACCACGTTCTAGACGACTGAGCCATCTTTCACTCGTTTTAATGACCTGTTATTACAAAGTTATGGGCATCGCGGAATAAAAAAGGTTAAAATAACCCCCCGACTTGGACAGCGGAAGCAAATTGTCCTCTTAAAACAAGGTGTAAGACCATGTCGCACGAGAAGATATATCGCTACTTATCAGGGTGGGCTATGAAACATGGGAATGCGATATCCTCGTGTAAACGCTGTTGGATCCCTCCTCTATCCAACTCCTTTTCTGATTCCCAGCATCCATCTCCGGGACATTCAAAAATACCTCGCCGCAATAATGGTATATATCGTTTCTTGATCCCAAACTTCTTTTCCCCCAATTGCGTCCAATTATTTGGATGCGTCTTCACATCTACCTCCGAGATACCCTTGATATAATTTTGATATTTTTAACTCCTGAACAACTGAAAACAATGACTTTTCTAAGAGGTCGCTTATTGTGTTAGTTTTCTATGGTTTCCTGTGTGGGCACTGAACCTATCTTCCATAAAGGTAGCAAGGTACATTTTATATACCAACACGAGGCCTGCACTACTTTCATTCCGCCGTCCTATTTAAAAATATGGCAGGGCTGATTTTGGCCTAACTCAATGCCAATGGATCGAGAACTGCAGTGAAGACACCTTGTGATGACACCTTTAACAATGCGATAATCATACGTGGGTTTACAGGGAGTTTCTGCCTTGGAACCTGAAATATTTTTGCACACCAAGTAGCAAAATAGCGGGGAAAAATATCACCTCTTCCTCTTTATCGTACACAACTCTATATAAAAATGCAAATTGCAAACGACTGATTAGATCCTCTCGGCCTCTTCCATCAAATCTTCCAAGTTGAATCCATTAACATCGCCTTGGGTAAACTTCCTCACTAACTCTGCCTTCTTCCCCGCCTGATTACCCCCCACGCCCCAGTCATAAAATCGTTGCAACCACATCACCAATAACTTTGCCTCATCCACAGACACACCACGATCCGGGACCACGCTCCCATTCATAAGAACCAAGCCTGACTTGTCCGCGAGGTCGAGGTGGTGTGTGATGATCGTGTGTGGTTGAGAATACGCACCGTGAAGTTTGTACGAGGCTAGGTGAGTGAAAAGCACTGTGGCTGTATGGGTATTTAGTGTGGGTTTGGATTCGATCCCTACAGCTACAGGAGTAGATGTTGTAGCACCAGCAGGAGGATGGAACGCCCATTGCAAGAAATGAATATCTGCTCTTGTGCATACTGATTGAGCCGAGGCTGCTGCAGCCTCGGCCTTCACCCCTTCGGGCTGGCTGCTTTCCTCCGTCCTAGGGAGTGGCAAAACAAATTGTGGATTTTGCCTGGCCGTGGCAACCATACGCAAGTATGTATCGATTGGGATCGTAGCACAAATAGATTGTGGATTAGAAGCATGCCTCAAGCGCCAGAGAGTTGCTATTTCTTTTGCAGGAAGTGTGAGGATCTTGGGAATGTCAAAATAGGAGGACAAAGCTTTTATTCCGGGGGTTTGGCTTTTCGAAGCTGATGGAACTATATGAGAGGTGCCAGGGAGATGCGCTGCAGGTCTTGGGCTAACATTTGAGCTCTGATATTCTGGGATGCTCTCTGCTTTCATGTCAAGGTCCTTCTTATCCCGGTAGGCCTCCTTAAGAGAAGAAATCGAAGTGAAACCCTCTCTTCAACGCCGGATTCATTGTAAGCAGTCGTACACACACGCTAGAATACCGCACCCGCTGTGATATAAATGGCTTACTGTTTGGCTTTGCAATCTAACTTGTCCCTGTATCTCTCGAGCACATGCTTTGGATCATGGTGTGTCGTCAAACACCTCACGTCATGGACTTGGGCCCATCGCCACTGGTTGTGCGGGAGCAACGGGCCCCCACTGCGTATGATGTGTCTAACAGCTGCAGCTCGAAGCGAAGTCATACCAATGGACGATACGGGGATTTGATTGGGAAAGAAGCGCTGTTGCTTCCAAGAGCAAAAACAGAGGCCTTTGATTGCCAAGCTCCGCCAATAACTTTGACAGGCCCATTTTTGCCTATTGCTCGCTAGAATTCCACGTGACTACACCTATTTAAGCGGTGCTGCGCCCGGTGTAGAGTCAATGAATTGTTGGGGGTTTGGATTGGTTCGTCCCCTCTACCATGCACATACATGTACTTACTACCAGCATGGCGCTGGTGGTGATCGAGCTCTGTGAATCAACTTTCCACCCCCCTCATTTATTTATTTTTTTTAGCTGTTTTCTCGAAAACGGAGATGATGAATACGATACTTGCACTTGTGCTTGGCTTTATTCGTTCGGTTGCTCCGTGAAGTCTAGAAGCACGTGTGCGTTTTCTATGCGCACCCTCATAAGCTCGCCTTTGCCTTGTGAGCGAAAAAGTAAGTGGACTTTTTGGTATGTTTTCAGCCAAATTGTCTGTGGCACTGGACTCCTGCTTCTGTTCAGGTCGTTTGCTGCCACATAACGGCGTCTGGGGTGCTGCATTTGCTTTCTTTTCGTAAGTCACTTCCTCGCGGAAGATTTGATCATCCGCGATCAGTGATGGATGTGCTGAACCCTGGGTAGCTCTATTAAACAAACATTTGGATATCCTGACCCAGGGGATTTCCACTGCGAGATTGCGCAAGCTGCCTCCTTGAAGATGCCTACCACGTCAACTGGTATGAGGCACGGCAAGAGAGATTTGCGGAGACCATCCCCTCTAGACTCTAGGCTCTATACGGGCTCACTGGGTCAGATGTTTGTTGACTGTCTGTTTCATCGCGAGGGCGTTAGTCACTGCCAGACGACTAGGACCACTAATGATCAGATATGCCACAATATATCAGCTTTTATCCGGATCATTTGGGAGCGTACTCAGGCGTGTCGATGCCGAGTCTGGTTGCTTGATGGCTGCCAAAATACTTCGTCAACCGGTAGATAGATCCAAGCAAGAATTGTGATGTACTCCTCGCTGAAGCGCAAGGTGTAAGCAATTTCCAATCTTAACCATGAAGAGTGCTAATCATGAATGATGTAGCCGAGATATTTTTATTAATTTAACCTCACATTATCAAGCCTTCCTAGGGTCAACTAGAGTGATGGAAAGGTGGAGATATTCCCGAGCCTAAAGGAATGATCATTGGAGCTTCTATGTTGTGTTGAAAATGACAGGAAATCATGATTTAAACTCAAACTTATCACCTGAGTAGACTTTGGAAAACGCGATAAAAGAGGAAGAGATAGATCCAAGTGAGTCTATCATACAAAAGGAAAAGAAGAAAGGAAAGGAAAAGAGTTAATAAAATAGAAATATTACAAGTTGCAAGTTGAATACATAAGATACTAAGGAGATATAGATGTTGAAAAGGTGTGTAGGAAAGGAGGAATTTGAAAAGGGCCAGGAGTGCGGAAAAAAGAAAAATATCAACGTTCAAGATTGCCCAACTTGCAGTGATCAGAAAAAGTTTGAGTCTCCTTTACCTTCCTGAAAAAATAGGGGTAGTGCAATTAATAATAAACAATAGTGGTTCCTCAATAAACAAAATCGGTCAATTGAAGGGGAGGAGCCACGGTCAAGGAACACTCACACTCACGGCGAACGTTAATACGATTAGCTCCGCAATATATATATATGTAGATGCTGGTATAAGAATCAACTATGGAATAGGGATGACGAAGAATTAGTGCAAAGGATAGCCGGAAGTATCCTTCGTGTTTTCAAGCACATTATTTAGCTGCAGATACTAGTATCGACACAAAAAATAAATTGTGGTATCATGAATCATAAAAGAATGGCGTAATCCAAACGTCCAAAGCAAAGGGGGAATGGATTCTAGCTGAAAAGTTAATACAACGGGAGGGCATTAAACTAGGTAATGAAACTCAAGAGTCGACGGGCGCGGGGGAAACAGTGGTAAGGGGCTGCAGAACAAAAGGCAGCACGACGAATAATTCCGGAGGCGAGGATGTGGCTCATAGCTACATATGAACCGGTGGCTGGCTTAGAACGCTAAGGAAGGCTCATTTCCTTTGCGCAACCCGAACCATTCCCATAAACGCGTCCTCGTCGCCAGCATTATTAAGTATCCAATATCCGCCCAGCTCATTGCCAACACTGTTATTGCCGTTGCCACCGTCACCGTTCCCATCGACCTCAGCATGATTCAATTCAACAGAATTAACTCTTCCAGCCCTCTCAACATGCTTAGAGCCCCATCCCAAAAGTCTTATGCAGGTTCTTTGGCCCTCATCGTCAGGCAATATATTCAAGATAGTAGTCTCCAGACACCCAACAATGGTAACAGCGGCACGAATAATAATCCGATCACCCTCAAAGACCCAGCAGTCCCATACACGGCTCAGGCGTTCGAGGTCTAGGCCATTTGTGACGAGGGTCTGGAACATGGGGCCCCAGATTTGTTCATCAGATAGGTACATATTCTCATACAGATGATTGGATACGCGTGGATACTTCAGGCGCAAAGTTGTCGACGCCAAAGAATAAGCCCGGGACGTGGCACCGGGATCTGCGGTTAGGAATGCTAGTGGCAAGGGTTTATTGAGGGCATTGGCCAGTGTCTGAAATGCCGCAGCAGGCGTTGGGAGATTGAGTAGCAAAAGAGCTGCGATAGTCTAAACGAAGTGTTAAGATCACTTGTTTCTAATTTTTGAAATATAATAGTAGCTTGGTTGTTTAACTTACATGGATGCCGTACAGATAGCCAACGTCACTTCTGTACATCGAATAAGCATCGAGAACATTAATCAGATTTTCCCGTAGTGGGCCATCTTCACCAAATAAATGAAGGTCCGGGAATACTGTAGACGCATCCCTCCGAATGGCCGCGAACCACTCTTTCATCCTCTCATTCGTATCATTTGCATTGTCATCTATAGTGATTTGAATATCCTTAGCCCTTTCGAGAGCCTTTACATAAGTCTCCTCTGTCAGCGCCAGTTCATTTCCCAGAGCACGTTGCCAGACTGCTCCTCGTGAACGTGGAGTAATGCCACGCCACCAGAGCTCCCTGGTGCGATGTTCAGATATGACGCGGTCCCAATCAGGGAAGACGTAGTCATCCCAGATGCGCTGCAGCATCTTACGAGTGTCATCTTTTTTACACAGGGCAGAGGCAGCTTCCGCAGCTTTACGCTTGTCTATGATATATCAAAACTCAGCCAGATATTCTAGGTGAACGGGAAAAGGAGGAGCACATACCCGCTTCACGTGAGAGTTCCATCATACGTTTGTACTCCAACAAGTGCTTCCTTTCCTCCCTTGGGTCCTTGGGAGGAAGCCAACTTGGCCGGGTTCGCGACAAGACCTTCTCTTTCTCTTTGCTAATTGGGAGAGGATCAATCATAATATTTGACTTCTGTAAAGGTGGAAGCTGGATCATTCCATTTGATGCGCGTTTTCCATCCTCCGACCTGGATCTGGTGGATGACTTTCCGCTCTGGAGGCGTTCTTCGCGCTTCTGGATCGCAGCATCAGCGTGGAACTCCAGCGCTTCCGTCAATATTTTGGCTTCCTCAGAAAGCTCAGACATGACCAGATTCCAAGAGTTGATGCGCGGGGAACGAGGTACCGGCTGCGTTCGAGGAGGACCTAGAGAACTGGCTCTTGGCAGTTTATGACTTTTAAGTCTAGCAGAGGTTGGTGGTGAAGTTGTTGGAGGAGCTGATAATGGAGGAGCCGACGTCGAATGGGACAGTGGAATCGGCCGAGGACCGGGACTCCTTCGATCAGGGCTAGGACGTCTGCCTCCATGTCGCTCGTGGGGAGGTCTCGGAGAGATAGGAACGTTCCATAAGGTTGCACCTTCAGGAAGTTCTTCATCTGAATCGTGGTATTCATCCTCCAACTCTTCTACAGTCTTTCTGTGTCGTTGTTGAGCCGTGGAATGTGTGAAAGATCGGGACGTAGGAAGCCGGGGCCTCGGTGGCAATGGTGTACTATTACGTGACGACAATGCAGTAGGTTGCGTGCCGGGAGAAGGGGATCTCGAACGCTGTCGCGGCGATGGGTGGAGATGTAGCGAAGGGGATGAAAAACTAGAGATAACTCTTCGCGATGCACTCCGGGATCGTGGGAGAGCGAGAGACTGCGATACTTCTGTAACCTGAACATGACCCTGCAGCTTAGGGCTATTCTTTCTGTTGGCAGACACTGTCAAATCCCTCGTTGTTGTCGCCATGGGCGCAGTACGAGACCTTATGCCGGTGGGTACGAGGCGACGGTTTGACCTCAGAGCAGACTTGTCCTGTGGGAAGTGACGTGGATCAATATACCGGTCCTCCAAACCTATATCCTCAAAATTGGAAATATCGGCCAGGATGTCGTCGGGACCCGAATTTTGGGAAGAGGAGCGGAACGACGAGGATTTGGAGGATTTGGAGCCAGACAACTCAGGAGGAGAGTCGGGGGCTACAGATATGGTCGTCATTTCATTATTCTGGTCGGGGGTCAAACATAGAGCCCATAGAAAAATGGAAATTTAATGTGAGCCCGTTCGTTGATCGGGTCGTGATCCCTTAACCGTGACCCTAAGTGTCTCTTCCTGATTTCGTTCTTTGGTAATATTCGTCCTCCTTGCGCTGTACTTTCCAAACGCCTGTTTACCGCCAATACGACAAATTCCCAGGCAGATATTAAAGACGCGACAATCACCAAAACCGGAAAAGAAAAAATAAAACACCAAACCAACAATATGACAAGCTGCACCAATTTTCAGAGATAAAAATGATTGGATTGTACCAGGGATCGAGCGAATGACAGTGGCAATTATCAGAGGAGTGATATTTGCGAGTTCAGGGGGAGAACGAACAACGAAACGTATCAGGGAGGCGTGGATAACGAACGATGGATATAAACAAAAACAAAATGAAAGCGCGGCTTGAATCGAACCATAACATGAAGGCCTCGGGAGAACGAGAGCGATGCCCAAGCCCAAATGACAGAGGGCCGGTAAAGTAGCGAGAGAGACAGACAGAGGAGGTATGGCGGCTCAAGTGAGCGAGAAACCGCAGAGTTGCTCGGCGGCAGGAGAAAACCCGTGATGAAGCTGTGCAGCTCTGGTTTGCCTTTTCGGCACTAGCGTATGAGTTTCAGGTGAGCTGAGGTAAGCAGTAGTATTGGCTGGTCACTAAAGTGGGCAGGACATATACAGAGGCCGCTGCGAAAAGTTTTGTCCCACACTAAGAATTTACACTGAAATATCCTTACTAGTATATGGAATCTCCAGGCCACACCACCTGGGATTTAGGCAGTGAGCTAGTGGGCAAGCTAGAAGGATTGGCCTCTATAAGCCCCCCTGTGACTCCCTATCCTTCTCATTAAGAGATGGAACAGCAATACTTAACGTCGGTATCAGTATTCCAGCTCAAATTATTAGCGCAAGTCAAAACTTTTCGCAGGAGCCTCTGTACAGTTGAACATGGTTAATTTTTCGGGCTGGAATAACCTTCAACGTGGTTTTGGCCACAAACCATGTCAACCCCCCCATTAAAACTACATGCACTAGCCATATCCCCCACACATCACTCACACATCTTCAAATGTGTTGGACACAGTTATTTTATCTTATTTCTCAAAGGTCTATCTCTTAACTGATGTTAGTCACTAATTCTAGCTCATAACTGCTTTTCAGATGCTGAAGTAGGAGGACTAAATGAGAGCTGATTAGTAATATAGAGTGAGAGTGTATGTAGATTTTAGTGAGGGAGTGAAGGGCTGAGCTGCCTGAGCATGGTTTATTTTTCAGACCCACTTTTTTTAAACCATGTTCAACTTTTAATAAACCACATTCAACTGCAACCCAGGAAAGGGAGAAATACCAACCTGGAACAGGGGATTGATAGGTATCCTTATTCGGCAACTTACTGGCTCCAGAGATTACACTCAGGGGTGCCTAACTAATGCTAACGGTGTGGTACCTAGGTATCAATCCTTGATAACACTAGTCTATTATATCCAAGATCCGTTTCGTTTTCACCAAAGAAACGACTTTCGATGGGACATTGAACACACTGATTGCCATTAGCTAGGCGCCCAGCGATGTCCAGATAAAATAATGGCTGAGAAACGAAAACGGCCCACGAAAGATCCCGCTCTGACTGATTTGCAGTCTTCCAAACATGCTAGGGACGACAAGCCTCTGGATGGCTCGATTTACCATCCAGTGCTTTCACTTTACTATTCCCGAGTCGTGACGCTCAGGACTTTCCTCTGCGAGCAGCTGCCACTGTCGTCCAAGTCGCGAAAGAAAAAAGTCGCGTCTCTCGGCCTGGAGAAACGGAATAGCTTCGACCAACCCCCCTATCCCTCCGCTTCCCAGGAAGTTGGCACAAGGTTTAAGACCGATGAGGAAATACAAGACCTTGCCGGCACCCTGGACTCAACGCTGGTGGGTATTTTGAGGGAGCATGACAACACTATCAATGTTTCCCGGCAGAAAGAATTCGCTTCTTTTACTCAATCCCAAGCCCTTTCCTCGCTGGAATGCACTGATGTTGGTGCAACTACATCCCAGCCAGATGTGAGTGACTTCGTGTTTTCTTTGGACAAATACGCCCATTATAGCGTAGCTGAATTCATAGCTGTTTTCTGTGCAGTCAACCATTCTTCAAGAGCATTGGAGATAGTTTAAAAAACTGATAGCGCCATGTGATAACCCCAGATTGTCGACTTCGCCATCCTCACTCTGTTCAATAGCTATCGCGGCTCCTTCTATAGACCGCCGCATTTACTCTGTCATGGTTTCCAGAGAGCATCTAATCAATGCCGCCCAAATCATGAACATGATCCAATGTCTGGCATCCGCGGCATTGTCCCTCAGTATCCAAATAAAAATGTTTCAATACTGAAGAACTCACCCTGGACTGACGTCCTTGACCTCCTCGGGAAAAACTGTGAAGAAATTATGCTTCACTTACTCCTGGACTGCAGCATATTTATCCAGGTAGATGAGAAGAATTGTATCTTTTATCAATTGAGTGGTGAGAACTATCTTCCGTTCTTTGCTCGGCGCCTAGTAATAACTTGCGATCAATCCATTCAGGAATCCCACTATCAGAACTCAGCATTTTAGAATCAGCACCCAATGCCAAACTGTCTCAAAGTGCAGTGGAGAACCCCACAGGAGGTGCAGTAGCAATGACTCCTAAGTCAGCTAATAAAGTCCTTCACACTCCCGCAACTATTACCTTTGTGAGAAGCCGTATGCTGTATGCGCGCCCTGCGTTAAATGCAAAAGGACGAGTCCGATTCGGCCTCAGACATATTCGTAGGTACCATGCATCATTGCATGCTGGTAGCTGTTCTAGTTATGCTAAAGAAAATTAGATGTTTTCAACAGATATCCGCAGAGCAATAACCGGAACCATACCTTGCATATACTGAAATACATTTTTCCACGACAATTCGGTCTTCATAATGTTTTTACTTCTCGTGTGAACCCTAAGGAAACCACCCAACCGTTCAAGGACTATACTCTGCGCGAGGAAGAGATATCATACTTCAGGAACCAAAGGGACACATCTCGGGAGGACCCTGAAAAATCTAGCGAACTTCCAGGCAAAATTCCGAAACGACTGCGTGGTGACCTTGTTGTCCTCATCCAGAACTTGCAAAGGCGCCATCAGCGGTGTCCTTATGTAGAACTTTTACGTTATTACTGCCCTATTGAGGTACAACACCAGCTGCTTCTCCGTTGTCAATTAATGAAAATGGTTGGTTTATCTAATTTCTCCTTTTCCAGAACACCCTTCCTCCGACTCTCGGCTTGGTGGGACCACAATCTAATAGTGCGTCCCGCCAAACAAGACCACCCAGTAAATTCCAAATGACAGACTATGCTACCCCGCATGTTGCGGTATCCGCATTTTGTCGGGGGGTGTTAGCTAAACTCATACCCAATGAACTGTACGGTTGTGGGGTTGATGGAATTAAGAATAGAAATATTATCCTGCGCCACGTCGATACTTTCGTACAGATGCGCAGGTTCGAGAGTTTATCATTGCATGAGGTTTCACAAGGCTTAAAAGTTAGTCAGTTGGTACCTTCAAACACATGTCTCCCGTTTAACACGGAGCAGAATTTCTGTTCGCCTTCAATTGTACCTACAGAGAAAAGAGGCAAAAAACCTTACGCTAACCAATGTGCTACCGTACTATAGATTACTTGTGTCAAATGGCTGCAGCCCGCCTGCCCCAACAGAATTCAGGGTCTCCCGTCCGTCAAGCTTTCGTCTTCAGATATCCGTAAAAGGACTGAGATATATCTTGAATTTGTTTACTATATATTCGACTCCATCCTCATCCCGTTGATTCGCTCAAACTTCTACGTCACGGAATCTGGCGTCCATCGTAATCGTTTGTTCTACTTCCGACATGATATATGGCGGCGGCTTACAGAGCCAACGATTGTACAGCTAAAGCGCTCGACATTCGAGGAGGTCAAAAAAGAAACTGCGGAGCAAATTTTAAGCTCCCGCAATTTGGGTTACAGTCTTCTAAGATTACTACCAAAGTCATCGGGCGCACGGCCAATCGTTAACCTTAGGCGGAGACCTGTCCGAAAATGCGGGTGGGGAGGCTTCAGCGAGCTAGGACCTAGCATTAATTCACTCATGACTCCAGCGTTCAATGTACTCAACTATGAGAAAATGCAGCGTTTGGGCTTACTTGGGGCCACCATGTTCTCTATTGGAGACATCTACTCTCGGTTGAAAGCTTTCAAGCAGAGTAAGGTACCAGCCAATGTGGCAAGGACTAAACCTTTTTATTTTGTGAAATTGGACATCCAATCATGCTTTGATACCATCCCCCAACAACGACTAATTCAATTGACCCAACGGCTAGTTTCTGAGGACGATTATCTAATAACCAAACATGTAGAGATCAGACCCGCAGATGAAGCACCAGCAAATATCCCAGGTTGCCACTACAGGACGAAAGCCAAGCCGGTAAGGAAATTCATATCTAGAGCGGCGGGTTTTACTGATCTCACAAGTCTGTATGATGCTATCGTCGACACAGAGTGTAAAAGAAAACGACATACCATTTTTGTTGGCACCCCGACGTACAAAAAATATCAGAAGAGGGATATCCTTCTCCTTCTCCAACAACACATCCAGAACAACCTAGTGAAGATCGGCAAGAAGTATTTTCGGCAAAGGACCGGGATTCCGCAGGGGTCTATCGTTTCAACATTACTTTGTAACTTTTTGTATGCCGAGTATGAACGGGAAAAGCTCGGGTTCCTGGACCACGACGACACACTCCTTCTTCGCTTCATAGACGACTATCTCCTCATCACGACAAAACCCAGCGTTGCTGTTCAATTCCTGCAAGTGATGCTTAAAGGAAATGAAGACTACGGTATATCTGTAAACCCGGAGAAAATTCTGGTCAATTTTTTGGTCACAATTGACGGACGAAAAGTCCCTCGCCTCGTCGAGGCATCCCAACGCCAGTTCCCATATTGCGGGAATATTATCGATACATATACCCTTTCCCTCACCAAGGATCGCACACCGAAGGATCCTAGCCTTACTACTTCGGATACCATAACAGTTGATGCCACTAAGTCTGCTGGCATCTCCTTTTACCGCAAGGCCCTGAACTCCTTTAAAATCCAGGTCCACGCCATGTTCCTCGACACGAAGCATAACTCGACTTCAATAGTAATGGCAAATCTCTACCATAGTTTCCTCGATTCAGCCATGAAGTTGTATGAGTATTCACGTTCTCTGTGCCAGCGAGGAATTCGAAGATGGGTCAAAACCGCAACGATGTCATCAGCTCTCTTTATGCGGACAATCTCAAACCTCATAGAAGTGGCCGTCCATGTCATACAGTCTCTCAATTCGACTGCTTGCCGGACGAGCTCCGGATTTGATAGCAACATTACAAGATCTCAGATTCAGTGGCTTGCGGCTACAGCGTTCCGGACAGTGCTTGGTCGTAAACAGACCAAGTTCAAGACGACGCTGCGTTGGCTGGATGGGGTGAGTCGAGAATCAAGGCCGATAACTGATGCCGAAGCGGTGAAGCTTCGAAAGGCGGTTAACGGGAGAGGGCCATTTGAATAGCACATCGCCTACACGGGTTTATAATAAATGGCACGTAAGGACGCTCCATATCACAGAAAGTCGGCGTATACGTTTGAAGAACATGATGTCCATTGCTTATTTACTTCTCATTGCCCTATGCATTAATCTCTGTTATCCATATAAGCCTGTTTCCGCACGTTCTGCTGCTCGCTACAGATCATTCCACGCATTCGTCGAATATACCTATTGACAAATGAGCTGTGTATCTGTCAATCTCCTCCGGATTAGAGTCGTATATCCGCTATAAATTTCCATATATAAGCTCTTTGTGACACTCCTCTCAACATACCTTACAAGTAGGTAAGCATTCAATCTTCAATCTTCAAGCATTATACAATTACAAGCAGGACTTTAAGTAGAGAGGCAGGTACTGAGCTCTATATAAAAAGATTCGGCAGATATATTGCACGCTATATTATAGGGATCCGATAGAAATGTCGCAGGTAGATAGGTATGTAGGTAAGTAGACAAAAGGCAAAGAGATTTACATGTAAATTACATCTGAATTAGTAAATCATGATTGGGATTCGGAAAAGTTTTTCAACATCATTCATTTTTTACCCATCATATCTCCACATACGCTTCTCGATAAGATTTGGGAGTTAGTACGGTACAAAGAAAGACAGCAAAGATAACTGAAGGACTTCAAAAATTGTTAGTTTTATGTTGATCCATGGGGCGCATTATCTATGTTATAACACAAAGTCTCGTATAACTCAGTTATTAGTTCCATGTTGATTGCAGGATGAATTGAATAGGGTGAGCAATGGGGAAAGGAGGAGAGTTGAAGTGGTCATAAAACTCGTAGCATCTCTCTTCTCTCTATATATATAATTGAAAAATGAGTTTTTGTGGTTTTTTTTCCTTTGCCTGCAGTGACACGATCTACTAGCTTTATAATCCTTTTGCTTTCAGCTCTTTTGTATTGTGCAATCTTCTCTTTTAGACAGAGTACTAGACGTAGGATCAATAGATCATTATATATAGATAAATCTATATCTATCTTCTCAATCATATCTTCTGCTCTTCTATATTACTAATGATCTTTTATAATGTCAAACATTTATTTTTTGAATTTTTTATCCCTCTATTTCTATCTTGAGCTATTATGAAAACTTTGGCGATGCATATTTACTTAGACATTATAATATAATTGTATAATGAGTATGGTCCTGTATGGATGATGTGGAGAATTCTTAGAGTAGATTCCGTGCTAATGTTAGTGAGATACATAGATCACTCCCGGCCTACCCGCCCGCTCGCCCCCTGTGTGCGATATCTAGCAATGTCAATGACGATGGAATATTATAGAGATGATGTGAGAGCTCTATAAACATAACAGTCTGTTTTCTCCTCTCAAATTATTTCTTACTGTAGTTAATTGCTAATGCTGTTTACAGCTGATTATACTCTTCAATTATTTGTATTCTTTTTTATTGATGTTATTCTCTCAGATTGCATCTGATCTTCTGAATAGCAGTAGATGCACTATATTTACACTTTGGTAACAGATCACAGTTAGCTTGATGAGTGTTCTCAAGAATGAGAAGTAAATATAGTAAGTGAAGAATGTTCTTATATAATAATATTATACAATGATATTTTGAAGATTGGGATTTGAAAGGGCGATGTTTTGCAATTAAGCTTGGGGTTTGGCGGCTCGAGAACTTAAGAAGAGGGCAACTGAAGATCGAAAACGGAGAAAGCCTTTGTAGCTTGTTCCAAGACTCAAAGGAAGGATGGAATGCAGTGTAATATGCCAGGCTCGGATGATGGTTGATGATGGGGCTAGGGCTACCTTGTTATTTCCACGACACAGCTCCCTTTATTTCAAGAAAATATGTTTCTTCTCTCGTGATACCTTGTCTCAGGTATTCGGAACGACGCCAATAATGCCCCATATTCTTTGCATATATGATGTTGAGTACGATAACGATAGCAGAAATACGACGGCTGATATCATGTTCATTTGTTCAAATATCAACGATCATAAGCCATCGCCCATAAGTCACCATTCATCAACATCCCCAATTTGCCGAGCCATCATGACAGGAGGCAACTAAAGTAGGACTACCATTGCCCTTCATAACTACAAGTTGACGAATGTGGCTTGGTGCCGTCCGCTGCGTCCTTACTTGGACGGTTACGCTGCGTGGTGAAGTGGGCTTCGTATGCTACCGAGATTTGGGGGCGGATTTGATTCTTTGTTACGCCTATCCACCAGAGATATTTTTTAGGTTTAGTTAACTCTCATTTTAGCTATGCAGTATCTCTCAATCTGACTCCCGAGGACTGGTTTGGTGTCGAATCGCTTGGGGGTTTTTGTTTTCTTAACCGAATAACAAGTGGGGAAGAACATGCATACATAACAATATATATACATACGTAGTTATAGTTAACATAAAATATCAGTTGAAACAGAGTTGGAGCGAACCACGGTTGCTGAAACCCATAGCTCCGTGTTATCACCCACTGGCAACTAGTTGATATTCATCCTGTGGGCTTCCCTTTCACAAACAACAAAACAGACCATTCTATGGTACGTGTCCAGAGCACAGATATTCATCCAGCTGCCAGCTGGGTTGCAAGCGCCCAAGGCTGTGGAATCCAATTGACCAGTTGCGCCTTAGGGACAGAGTAAATTTATCGATCAACCTTCTACCGCCACCTCCGCCCCAACCAACCTCCACCAACCTCCACCAACCGCCATCATCACCAACTCTCAACTCTGATCTTCTTATCACCATCAGTTCGCAGACATCGTGCCGAATTCCCCCGGCTCCCCCCCTCTCTCTCTCTCTCCTCCATAACAAGCACTGTGCCTTGCCATCTCCCTATCTTGACTTATCTCAACCCTGGCCAACTTCTTCATCTTTCTCTTCGTGTTGAACCGAGCAGAGCAGCCCCAATAACTTGGCCAGGCGTGTCCATACAACCCGTCAGACCTCAGGCACAAACCCATCTCCACTCTTCTGTTGTCGTTGGGCTGTTGGCCGAGTTAGAAACCCGGAATCTCCGCCGCATTTTCCTCTCCCGCCCTAGTTCACGAAACTGTTGGAGACCGCGACATGAACTTGAGCGAAAACTAGATATTTAGTGAGTCCGTGACCGCCAATCTAGTGCACCATCATCACCATCATCACCATCGTCACCACCACCACCACCACCACCACCACCATCATCATCATCATCATCATCATCATCATCATCATCATCATCACCATCAATTTCCACATTCCGGCGCTGTCTCATTCCTTCACCCTCTTCCCTCTCTCTCTTCAATCATTGAACGATCATCCTCAACCACCTAGGCCCAGCGTTCTTTTCCTTGATTCGGCTACCCGTGTCCTCTGGCATTAATTGTTGTATCCTCTCTTTATCTCTTCGTGGCTGTCTTTGTCCGTCTCTCTCCTTTTGCCTTTGTGAAAACACTTCTCCCTCTTACCATTTACATACAAACTATCTTGTTGTGGACTACCGGTCCTGAGCTGGTTCGTCCTGTTAGCTTGCTTGAGGTAAGCAAGGACAGGAGTAACGAATAATAATAAACAACCTGCACGCCCGTTGATTTGCGCTGCTCTAAACCTTGTCGTTTCGTACTGTCCCTGCGCTTGCCCTCACTCTTCTTCCCTTGGCCCTCTGTATTTTACTAGTCATCGGTCTTTTTTGAACTTCTTACTGAAACCGCCCCCGCCCCTTCCCCTCCAAGTCTCTCGTTTATTAGGGTCCGACCTTCAAAATTACGTCCTCATCAAACAGGCCTCTTACATTCGATCCCAAGACCTCATTAAACTTCCAGGGCGACTGGGACCTGGATATTCCACTAGCAAGCTCTTATCGTCGAGGGGTTTGTGTTTGGTGGAGGAATTTCAACACCTCAACATGCCTCCTTCACTCCAACCAACGAGATGACTTGACGCCTGAAATCCCTGGTCATGCAACCTGCCACGTCGTGGACGCTGGACGGCCTGTCTCTTCCCCTTTCTCATCCGAATGCTGTTATATCCCAATTTCCTGGCTGTCCGACCCGCTCTTTAAGTCCATCGTGTGTTTCCTCCTCGTCCTGCACCGCTTACTGACTAGGTCACTGGCCTCGACTTGGGCCTAACGGAAAGTTGATTACTCTTTTAGTCCTCTTCGCTTTATTTTTATCACTTCTTTTAAGAGAAATTTTAAAATTACTTTTTATTATTGGTAGTGCTCCTAGGCTACGCGCAAGATGCCTACGACTAATGAGGTGGAACACAATTATGATCCCTTGAATCATCATCTTCATTCCTTTCGCCATTCAGGCCCGAATCCGCAATTCCCTTTGGTTAACTCTCTTGAGGCGGACACCTCTGGTAGGGAGTTTGGCAATAACGAATCTCCCAACCCTTCGTCACCCTTGTCTCCCCGTCTACCGCTACTTCCCGTGACTACCTACAAAGCCCCTGGTCCACCTACATCTCCTCGACAGTTGTCAATCACCACAAACTTTACAGGTCTAAATTTCAGACGGCATCACCCCCCGACGAGCGATGAGGCTTCTCCCGACCCCCGCGAATTCTACCTGCAGTACAATGACTTTTTCGGTGGTGATGGCCATTCTGCCTTCGATGGTGATATGACTTCCACCTCATATGCAAAAAAATCGAATATCTCCACTGGCGATTATCACAACCACTCTCCAACATCTCACCGCGCTCGCTTCCCCTCTCGTTCTCGTCCATACCACCCAACTTCTTCTAATTTCCCGCAAACCGCCGTTTTTAATACCGCACGCCCAAGTTCAGTCAACTCTTCTGGGACGGGAAACCAACAAAGGCAATCGTCGTTGAAGGAGCTAGTGGATAAGTTCAACCAAAATTTCGATCAGGTTCCCCCTAGACCACCAGATTCTCTTACATCTTCTAGAGACGGCAGCCCTAGTCGTCGCGGAATTGCCCATTCTCGTGCCTGTAGTACGCAACAACAGTTCCAGAAAGGGCGCGGTGACCGGGCAGATTTCCGATCCCCTCCTCGACCTCGACATCCTGGACGGCACAGCCAGTCTTCAATAAATGTAAAAGAGAGCGCATCGAATTCGTTCGGATCACCTCCAAGTAGGCGACTTTTGTTTGGAGAAATCATCCCAACCCACACTCGGCCTCCGGTTCATGCCACTGATGCCGCATCGCCTCGCTGGCGCAGAGGGTCTGATGGTGACATGCATATGCCTAATCCGATGTTCGTTGACTTGCCTATAGAACTCGATAGTGCAATCTCTCCAACATCACCTACTGCCTGGTATCTTGGATACGCTTCACCTTTTGACATATTGAATACTACAAAACACCTCGTTACCCATCGCAGATCTCGAAGCGACTTGGTCACAAAACCTTCCACCACCACTCCCACCACTAACCCTGAGATATCAGACCCAAGCATGGGTATCGCCATCAACCAAGCCGGCCTACAGCCGGCCGTTACCATCGGAACCCGCCCCAAGTCAAACTCACAGTCGCGTATCCCCGTCTCAACACGTCGCTTCAGCCAAGCTTCAGACTCAGGTGGTTCTACGCCTTCCACAAGGGCGAATTCAGCCATGGATCGACATAACATCCAAATAACTCTTCCCCCGAAGGGCATGAGTGCGCTTCCCAAACGTTCCCCGAGAAATTCCCCGAGTTCCAAAACCCCATCTACGAGCTTAATAGTGACATCACCTGCACGGCATAATCGCGGCCAGAAGCTCCACCTCGGCCCTGATAAAAGCCCAACACTTAATGCTTACATATCTGCCCCACCCCCGAAGAAATCCCCCCCACTTCGCAGTTCGAGACCTCGCCAACCGGTGTCGTCGGCGACAACTTCAGCGTCGCGTGCAAGAGTAGTGGATAGGATTTCCAGTCTACAAAACCAGTCTAATGCGTCCACTAGGGATTCCAAACCTTCAAGGACAAAATCAAGACGGCTACCGGAACTAGGGAATGTTGATTTTGCTGCCCGTCGGCAGAAAATCCAACAAGCATTTAATAAAACAGTGGAAGAAAATGCGAGAAAGGAAGAACGTGCAGTTCTACGTCGTCAGACGGTTAAAGAGAAAGCCGCAAGAGATGTAGGTGCGGCCTTGACACTTGCGACCGCCACGGCCGCCGCGCCTGGAGAACAACAACAAAAGAAGCCACATGCAAATGAAACGAACGATCCACTGCCTGCTACTCTAATTGAAACCCGATCAGACGCTCCTGACGTTGGAGATGATCAAGAGACATTCGTTACACCCAATGAAGGACGCTCCCCGGACCTGACCAACATGGTTGCAGAACATCTCGAAACGGGCCGCGGTGTGACATTAGATGCGGATAACAACAGTTACTCGGCTACGGAACAAGATGAGAAGTCAATCAGCCAATTAGATATTCCCAGAAGCCAAACACCCTGTTCTGATGCTCCCGCCTCTGCGGTGACAGTGGGTACCGACATTACCACGTTTGATCAGGAGCCACAAACAGATTTTCCCCAACCAACCTCTCAGATTCATCGAACAGTACTCAGTCAAATCATGCAGATGAGAGAATCCAGCCCGAGTAGTTCCTCGTCTTCCGACTCCTTCTCTGAAAGGGACGACAAAGAGTCAATCCAAATCATGCTTCGGCGAAGTCACTACTTTGACGAATCACAGTACAACAGCAGTGACAACCTAGAACCTTGCGAGACCGCAGATGATTCCAGGAGCGATGTGGACCGTCATCGATGGAGCATGAGTTCTTGGAGCTCCTCTCTTCATGATCGACAGTCCATGGACGGGCCGCTGGGGCGGATCACGGAAAACCCACCTGAGACTGATGCTCATACCTTCATGCCTATGGGCGAAAGTAGTCAAACTCTCCAACTCCCAGTACCGCGTGCTGATTCCCCCACAACTGGAGAAATTGCAATTCAACGCGACGCTCGCGATGTTCCGAGCGAACCCACTGCCCATAATGTTCGGTATACAACGCATATGATGCAGCAGTATCCCGATCTAGCCAAGCAAGGTGGTTGGAACTCGAAACGCGTAACCCAACTTTTCCTTCAAGAGTTAGGATTCGAGGGATCACATTTGCTCAAATCTGATTTTGGGATCGCTGCGCGGGTCCAAACAAGTCGTCCTTCTTCTCGGGGCGATGATTCCCACAAGAACGATGGCCTGAGTGAAGATCCTATTATAGTACCTGAGTCCATACAAGTTCCAAGGTCGGAGTACGTACAACACCGGGCGAGCTTGAGCTTTAGAGAAGACTGGGAGAAGGCTTCTCCATCCGTTGTGGATTGGATGCACCTTGCGGCATCAGAAGGAGGCTCGGAAAACTCACCCAACGTTGTTCGTGAGGGAGCAGAAACCCCGAGGCTCGCTACTACAGGCTCAAATTTTCCAACCGAAGAAGAATCCGTGGAAGGCCTAGGCCTTTCCATTCACGTTCAGTCTCCTCAGGACGACGACTCACCTACCATCCCTCCGCCCCCATTACCTAGCCATCCTCCTCCACCTATTCCCCATTCTTCGAGCTCCCTCTCCGAGATACTTCCCGAACCAACGTTACATCCACCTGTACAATCATCTCCAAGTATATACTCGAATAATCCGCCCTCCACCATCCCGCCCAGCGTCCCACGGATCCCACCAATAGACCATATGTCAAGGGTACGAAATAGTGAAGAATCTCTGCATCAGGCCTCTGTGGTACCAATCCCACAAACACTGGCATCGTCGGCTACATCACAAACACACTCAAGCGCGGGTCAACCTATTGTTGGAGTCCCGGCGGAGAAATCTTCTCCTTCCCCAGAAGAGCGCCGCCTCAAAAAGCGAAAGCATGTCATCAAGGAGCTAGTGGATACAGAGCACACTTTCGGTCAGGACATGACAGTCGTTGTCGATATTTACAAGGGAACATCTAGTTCATGTTTGGACTTGTCTCAGGACGACGTCAAAACATTGTTTGGTAATTCCGACCAGGTTGTGCAGTTTTCAATGGACTTTCAGGATTCTCTGAAACGCGCTGCAAAGAGTGTTTATGTATTACCACAGTCCCAGCGATGGAAGAGCAAGCGTGGCCATAGATCTACCCAGATGAACGGTTCCACGACAGATATCCCATCCAATCCATCCTCGGAAGCTGCAGACGATGAAAAAGACAGACAAACTTCGATTGGCCAGGTTTTCGTTGAGCATATCGAACGGATGGAGAAAGTATACTCTGAATACCTGCGGAATCATGATGCGGCTAACAGGACTCTTGAGGTCCTTATGCGTAAGAATAATGTTAATATATGGCTGAAGGAATGCCGGGACTGGGCCGTGGATCTGACATCAGCTTGGAACTTGGATTCCTTACTTGTGAAGCCTGTTCAGCGTATTGTCAAGTACCCACTACTGCTAACAGAGCTGCTCAGCGCGACTCCCCCAGACCACCCAGACCATTCTGCCTTGACAAATGCCTTGCGCGAAACAACCAGCATATCTGTAAGGATCAATGACATGAAGAAACGGGCCGATGTGGTAGGCCAGATCGTCAGCGGTCGAAAACGCAAGGAATCTGACGTCCGGTCAGGACTTTCGAAAGCATTCGGGCGGCGCACAGAGAAAATTAAGGCTCAAGTCGGCATCACAGACGTATTTGAAGATAAGGAATTTTCTATACTCTCTTCCCGGTTTAGTGACAATTTCTTCCAGCTCCAATTGATCATGCGGGATGTGGAACTCTATACTACCGAGGTTCAAACTTCCATAAAAAAGTTTCATGATTATATCCTCGCGATCGAGGCATATATTAGTGTTGCGCCCTCGAATTATCCTGAGTTGGAAAGCAAATGGTGTCGGTTTAGGCTTGCTGTCAAAGACGTTCTGACTGTGGCGCTTGTTGATCATGTAAGATATTACGTCTCTCAGCCTTGCTTGATTAACGGGTTGAAACTAATTTCCTTTTTCTTTTTACCTAGGTTTCTGCTGTCAGGAAAAACGTTATTCTCCCAATGGTCACGCTCCTAAAGCTGCATGATGGTCCTCAGCGGGTAATGCAGAAACGAAACAAACGTTTGATGGATTATGTCCGCTACAAAACGCTCAAAGAACGTGGGGATAGGGCAGACAAAAAGACCACAGAGCAAGGGGAACAATTCATAGCTTTAAATGTGACTCTTAAAGAGGAGCTGCCAAAGCTTATTGCCCTAACTGGGAAACTGACAGATGCGTGTCTGCATAACTTCGTGGAGCTTCAGAAGACTTGGCTAAGCCTCATACAAAAGCGACTGGGGTACATTTTTGAGCGGACGACAATCTACGGCCTGGACCAAATTCAGTCCGATTGGGCAGCAGACTTCTCGTTTAGCGATGCTCAAGTCTTGTCATTGGGTATATGCAATGGTTCTATTCTTGCAGACGTTGCCAACGTTGCTGGGTACAATTCACCCTCAGCTTCAGCTTCCAATGGGGCAGATGGGTCGTCATCATCTCGCAGACCGTCAACAGTAAACAGCGCGAGCATTCACAATGCCAATACCAATCGAGCAGCTTCCTTTGAGCAAAGCAATTCCCCGAAGATCTCCCATGAATTTGGCACCAGCACACCCGGTAGCTTCATACATTCTCCACCGGCCGATAACTTTATCCAGCAATACAATGGCTCTCAGGTATTCTCGAATGCACGAATGCGCACCAACTCTGGCTTTACTGGCCGCGCGTCCGGCGTATCCGATGCTTCGAACGGGCCTGTCCTACCGTCCATGACAGCGCTAGTCAACTCGGGTAATGGCACCAACACCAGCCGATCCTCCGACGCGACTCCGTCACTACCGCAACTCTCTCTCGATACCCCGATGCTGCAAGATTTCCTCGCCGATCCACTAATGGCATTGCATAACCGCGGCACCCCTCCTGACCCAGCCCTTCACCCCTCCTCGCCCATTGTTGCACGATCGGGCAGCTTCTTTTCGTCTGCAATGCCCATGAACGAGTCGCCGCGGACGGCAACTCCAATACCTGACGACGAGGAACAAAACGACCCAGCTGTTCTATTTCCCGTTGCGAGCTTGTTTGAATTTAACATCGACCGCGCGCGTCGAGAGGCCGGGTATCCCTACCTGACATACGTTGCAGGGGAGATATTCGATGTCATTGGCGAGAAGGGTGATTTGTGGCTTGCGCGGAACCAGGACGATCCGACGCGTCAAGTAGGATGGATATGGACCAAACATTTTTCGAAACTTGCTGGATAACTGATCTTTGCCGATAGAAAATAGAAGATGATTATTTTCGTCTCCTATCTTAGATTGTATGGGGTTGACCCATCACAGCCCTCATGTCAAGGATTTTTCAATTTCCTTTTCTTTTCTTTTTTATTGGCTTCTAGGTTGTCATATGGGGATATAATGATTTAATCACGCTCAACGCAGCCTTATTTATTGTTTTGTTTTTAATTCATTTATTTGTCATGACGTTTTTTTTTTTTTACCTTCTTATACCTCATTCTTCCGTCACATCTTTTCAGCTTTCCCTTTTTGTCTAGCTCACACTTCATACCCATCCGTTTTGTCACCTTGCTATTTCAGAACCATGTCTACATTGTTATGACTCTTTTTGTCCACATTTTTCTTCTCTTTTACATTTACACACTCCTATCGTGTATCAATGCAGGATTTCCTTTGGCGCTGTCCTATCGTGTAGGAGTCTTGCCTTAGCGTCGTGCAACTTCTGTATTGACCTGTATTTAATGTGTAAGCCGATCCTCCTATTCTACAAATAAAACAGTTCCTGCTCGTTTGTGGACTGGGAATATATTCTATTTTGTTCCTTTTAGTTTCCTAACTTCTCTCTGTCTTGTCCTCTTTTTTTTCAGTCTCATCCCTGCAGCTGTTGTCTCTCTCCAATAAGGAATGCGACGGGATGGAATACGATTCCGTAGATCCGATATGTTTTGTTAGAATGCAAAGGATGAAGAAAGTGGGTTGCCTTTGTTCTGAGAGAGTATATGAGACATTATTCAATGTACGGAGCGGAAGCGAAGCTGTTTCAATGCCATTGCTATTATTTCATATATTTGTTAATTAATAATACCTTTGAAAAATGAAACACGTTTGCTTGAAGTTTGTGGGATTTGCTTCTGAAATCCTAACTCCGTGAGTGGGGGATTTTGTAACGTTGAAAGATAAGTTTTTACCCCCAGAGCAGAAGGGCGGGGCAGGCGTTGATTATCTATTCATATTCATATTGCGTCTCTTAACTATTCGTTCTCCTAAATCGCATCCGCTCTTCTCGACTTGTCTCCCTTTCTCCACTCCAATGCTGCTCCTTGTTGCTTGCAGAATCGACCTCCACGGTTCGTTGTCTTGGCATCCACGGTAGGGATTCTTCAGACTCACCTCGACTCCATCTCGTGCGCGGTACGGAATACACATAACAAACACCCGGCTTCCCGGCTTCCCCCTCTCCTCGACATGATGCGGCGATACTCGATTCGTCTCCAGATAGTTAATACTTAATTCCCTCTAGATCCTCCGCGCGCCCAATCCATACCGTTTCAAATACTGAAATACTGCACCTCCCGCCACTTCTCATCCCCCCCCTCCATTTTGTCCCGCCACAAACACGCCAACCATCAAGACGAGTCCCTTTCTGGGGGATATCCCATCTTCCCCATCAGAAGTAATTCGTCCGTCCGGTCACTGCCGTCGTCGTTCCTCTCCCTCCCCTTTTCCTCGACGCCTTGTCCGGAAGCGGAAGCGGAATCAGAATACAATTACAAACAGATATATCTGCATTGTGTAGCTCGCGCTGGAGAGAGATACATAGCTAGTTGTATAACGCGAGGGGGTCTGCCGCATTCTAGAACAGATTAACCCCCTGGCACTGAAAATGGGCGAGGGCGGCTTCAACCGCTTCAAAGATAAGATGAGGGGCCGATTTAACAATTCGGTACGCTGTTTTTATTTCCTTCATATATATTGCTTTTCTGATTTGGTCTGGTTTGGAATACGCTGCATATCTTCCTTGCCTATGCTCCGCACAGTTAGCTACTTGTACGGAGCCAGAACGGAGCCAGATAGCTGGTTGAAGCTTCTGGTTGTTGTTGCTCCCGTGCCGTTGAGCCGGCTTCGGTACACAGGCTCACCCCTGCCTGGTTCCGCATAGTCGGATTGCGGATTTTCTCTTTCGGAACTCTCTTTGCTTGACTTGTTTGTGTATCCGTTGAAGGGGTTTTGTCTTTCATTGTGCTGTTCGCATTCCCATTCTCATTCTCATTCTCGTTCTACCCCTCATCATTGCATCATCATCACTCTGTCGGTTGGTGTTGGTGCTAGTGTTGATGTTTTGAACCTTGTCTCTTCCCTCTTCTGCTAACCCTCGGTGGATACTCTCTCTCATCTCTTTTCCCGTGCCTCTGTGCGTATGTTCCAGTTAGCCAATTTAACGCCTCGGCTCTTCTCGGGGTGAAAGCCTACCTTCTACTGTGCCAGTTCAAGCCCTGTCATGACAGGGGTGCTGGAGCAGTTTCATTCCAACGTCATGCTGCTCAACAAGTTCTGGAATAGCATTTCGGCTATGAGCTACAGTGCTGACTCCTTGCAGTCGAGTCCCGATGATGCATATCTAAGCTGTGCGTACCACTTTGTACCCTCTCCCTACCCTGTCGATTATCTTCGAGGCGTTAGGTGTCGCTTGAGTTGGAGTGAATTAAATAACTCGAAACTAATTTTGGTTGTTGACTCGGGAATGTGGTCTAGACCATGACGTTCGCTGTTCGTACTTTTCCTTACATATTCCAAGATTCTTCTGCCCTTCCAGTCATCTTGCCTGAGATACTCATCGCTAATTGGTGACATGCTGTAGTAACGAACGAGGACGTACATACCCTTAAGACGGATTGGCTGACAGATAATGTACGTTCTGCAAGTACCTGTGCTATGTTTGCTACTTCTTCTACTTTTCCTTCTTACCTTTGACAAACTGACTAGTGGAAACTTTGTAGGTTATTGCGTTCTGGGAAGAGTACGGTTATTTTATTCCAAATTAAACCATGTTGATTTAATATGCAGCGGTTTACCCCTTTGTATAGGTATCTTGAACGTGAATTCCTCGTAAACTATCATTCTGCCAACATTGTCCTGCTCCGTCCAAGCATGTCTTTTATGCTACTTCAGACCCCAGATCCCCGTACGCTCCGCGAAGCACTGCCCGACTTCACAAAGACTAGTCACGTCTTCCTCCCGATCAACGACTGCCGCAACGTCAACGAGGCCGAAGGCGGCACTCACTGGTCTCTCCTGCTCGTATCCGTCGTTGATGGCATTGCCTTCCACTATGACTCACTCCCGCCTGGAAACTGCGAGGAAGCACTACAAGCCACGCTGAAGCTTTCTCACCTTCTAAACAGGCAGCTATGCTACATCAACCTCGATGACTCGCCGGTCCAGGAGAACAGTAGTGACTGCGGCGTCTTCGTGTGCCTGCACATGCGCCAGCTGCTCCTGAAACGGCTGTTGATGGCCAACTCGTCGGAAAAAATCAGCATGAGCCTCGGAGGCACCAGAGTGAATGCGAGCAACGGGCGCAAGGAGATAGTGCGCATCATCGAGCGGCTCAGGAAGAAGGGAGAACGGCGAAGATCGTATGTGCATACCTTTTCTATTCATTTCTCTTGTCAGTCTATGTCTGTAGTTTGCCGCTGCTTGTCATAGCCCTCGTCTTTCCCGTTTTCTTGCTCTTTTATTTTCCGGATCCGACCTCTCTCTCAGAGTCAGAACTAGCGTCTGTGGCTGCAAAGATTACTTAGCCTGTTCAACCTACCTCATTACCGACATGCCACCCCTTACAGGCGTGCATCTTCAAATCAAAGCATTCGCACTAAGGCTTATCCGGGAATATCAACGGGCAACCCAATGCCTCTTGATTTCCGAAATGACATTCTGTTATCTTAATAGGTTAAGCGTAAATGCCAATATAAACTCCAACGGTACACCCGATAACCACCGCGAGAAGAGATCGAGAAGCCCGCCGCGAATAGAATGATCTGAGCTATGATTATCTTCTTTCCGATCGTTGCTCTGGAGTTTTTTCGCTCTCCATCCTTTCCGTGTTGGTAATTATGATGTAATGATATTGGTAACCTGCTATGCTTACAATCATTGGTAATTGATCAGATTCTTTTTTTTAGGTTTTTTTTTGGGCGCTGTTTCGGGTGAGGGTAATTTCGGAAGGCTTTACTGAAAAGAAAAGGGAATCAGTTAACATTAATTTTAATTATTTAATTTTGAGGGGGTCCGGAGTCTGCTTGGATATTTTACTGGATAGCGATGGCGCGGGGCTATTTCCTTCCCTTTTTGTTTTATTGCGATAGTTACTAGTATTCTTCTTCCTTTTCTTTGTACTCTAGGGAATACCAACTTTTGTTTGGTGGCGCGTGTGGTACGGTATGCTGTACAGGAAAGCTGAGAGAGCATTCTTGAGCATTCAATGAAACCATCATTTGTCTTCCTCTCTCTCCGCTATCGGATAGATATGTACAATACACGTATAGTACAAGGGAAATCGCTGAAGGCCTTGTCCAAAACGTACTCCCCAGATAATACCTAATCACACCTGTTCCAAAAAGGAAGTAGCATTGCCCAGCCTTTGTAAGAGGCGAGTCCGGCAGATGCTGCACATGGTTCTCCTGGGGATATGAAGGAGTTCAGTCTAATAGTTTGTTATGTTACATGTCCCCTCGCTCTCCATTTGAGTCATCTAGATGTTAGATGATATCAAACGCAAAGCCTCTGCGAATGGGCAGCACTGGGTGTATTCACGTTTGAGCAGGGCCAGTTTGAAACACGCCCGCCCATTAAATTGAAGTCCTAAAGTGCTGAAGGAGTCAAATCCCACCTAAATCTCATAGCTGAAATGAGATGTTGTATGTTCCCTTTCCTCTGAGGATGGCATGTCGGGAAGGTATCTAGATGGACAAAGGATGGGAAGGGTCCAAATGAGGAGGAGGATTTGAAGGTAGAAGAGTTTAGATCGAATTCACATTGGACTCTAGCCCTTTCTAAAAATCTAAATATAAATACAAATGTGTAAGTGTAAGAGAATCATATCGCATGTTTAGGGTAAGGCACCAGGGCAAATCAAATCGTTTGCATATGCACGGTATCGCGAGAGAATATCGGTTTGCTTGAGGTCGCGAACTTGCGACGCAAAGGCGTAGTGAGCAGCGAGAGCTCCCGTTGCGACGAGTACGGCTATAAAATAAAGTAAATATAAAAATAAAAATAACCTCGGTATAGGCCAAAAAAAAAAATAAAATAAAATAAAAAAGTGACGCGAGGGGCACTCACGTCTACGTAGCTGTTTGGGAATTAGCTTCGTCAGCATCCCTTCATCGTCAATGAGCGGAAGATGATCGAGGACGTCCCTCCCCCAGATAGCAATGAAATTGATACTGATCCGTTCGAAGCCCATATCCCACACACCGCGACGCGCGAAGTCATAGACATCTGTTGCGTTTTGTTCCAGAGACTCTAGGAAGGAGAAATGTTGTTGCGCTGCAAGGGACCATTTGCCTTGGTTTTCTGCCCAAGGGCTACAGAGCGCATGGTGGATAGGCGTACGGTATATAGCAGTTCTATTCTCGTTGTGCACAGGCAGCCATCGATGGTTTGGATACGGCGCATTGCCAACTTCGAGTGGGAACTGGAAGCCATCTGGGCCTTCCCAGTATGGAAGTTCTGAGGCGCGCCAAGTTGGTTTTCGAAGGGAAGTAACATCGCTGTTTGTGATGTTAAAAGGCGGCGTCAATTCGGGAAGGTAGGGTCTTATAGCTCCGGTGCGGTAGTGGTGATAGGGCAAAGGGGCGCCGTTGATGACGTTTGCTGAAACAAGGTACGAGTGGTCATTTTCGAGCTTTAGAGAGACCAACTTGGGTATCGCATTGTTGTCGATGTAAATAATATCATCGTCCATTTTGATATAAAGGGTGTCGGGTTCGGTCACGGTGCTGTCCCATATTTTCGAGTATCCTTTTTTCTGCGCGTCGATCGAAATTTTTCTGTAAAGGGGTGAAGTGGGCACCAGCTTATCAAGCCAATTTAAATCGCCCTGGTTTTCCGTGTTGGGAGCCCAAAGCACCTCATCGATCCATCCCCCGTTTGTTACTAGATTGCGCTTGAGGTAACAGTCTAAAATCTCCACTCGATCCGGGCGTCCATAGAATATCACGGCGACAATCCTGAAGTCCGTAGGCTTGGTGGAGCTCGCTTTGGTAGGCTGAGGTGGGGCAGGCGGGGACGAGAACGCAAAAGCAGAAGGGTTAGCGGGGAAGGAGTTGTTGTTAGCGATATTCCCTTTTCCCAATGGATCCAGAGTTCGATCCACTTGGGGATTTGCGAATGGGGAAGGTAGATGCTGGAAAGTAGGAGGGTTATAAAATAATACAAAACAAACTGGAAGGAGAATTAAAAACACCAAAATAATACTGAGTTTTAATGAACGTCGGACATATAAACAAGCGGCAGTCCAACAGGTGGATATCGACAAGAGAACATCACTTATGAAAGAAGAAAAAGGTGTGCGGACATCTTTGTTTTGTTCAAACATGAGTCCGGTTTCGAAAGCAATAGCGAAAGAAACGTCGGCGGGATGAAATTCTTTACCACATTATTATCAACACAAATGTCGACATTGATCATCTGGAGAGCAAGACCATCCAAAAAAGAAAAAGAAAGAAGAAAGAAGAGGGAGAGAGAGCCAGCGAGGAACAAGTCGATGAGGAAAAGTGAAGGCTCACTAATCCAATCTTTTTTTTACGAGGCCCACATTCAACGCCTTCAAGATCTCGAGACTTGCCAACTCAATATGGGCGCCCGAGTGGAGCACTGGCATTTTTGCAACGAGGGAAAGCATGAGAAACTGCGCATCTCTTATTGGAGGAGTGATTCCCAATTTGCTCTAAATCCCATATTTGGTTGCGAGCTTGCAGTTTGTCGATACGAAGGTTCCCCTAACAAGCCGTCCTTGTCTCAGGACTGAGTGCATCCTTCTGGCCCAGAGCTGAAATCCTCCTGTCAGGAGCTAATGGCGAAGCCCTAGCGAACCCTGAGCGAGTTAGAGTTGAGCTGGGTTCAAAATTTCTCAACGGGATTCGCATTGGAAACAAGGGCGTCATGACTTGGCAAAATTTAGACGAATCGAAGGGGCAAGCGCTTCCCAAAGGCTTGCCGAATGCACTCTGACTTGTTAGCTTTTTCCGAATGGAGTTGAATTTTGCGCCCATTAAACAAGCCCCCTGCGCTAGACGGTTTTGGGTAACCCGCACCAGACGGGAGATGGCCTCCTGTCTGAGCAGGACTGAGCCACCCTGACTGGGAGAGATTTCTTCCATCATGACTCATTGAGTGTTCACCCGCTGCACAAATCAACCTCCGGTGCTGATGGAATCTGGAAAGATCCATTTGTGTTGGCATCCCTATCGCTCCCATAGAAATCCATGTGACCGCACCTATTTAACCTTCCACCTCCATCGATTTGTCGTTTTCTGAGTGATATCTTATTGCCGGTCTTCTCCAACCTCAGAACCTTGGAGTTGATTGCCGATTTGTGGAGTCTCAATTTGAGATTTGAAAAGGAATGGATGGATTAGTTGAGCTCGACTTTATTCAGGAACTGTAATCTGCACAGAGGTTGGGATTTAATTAAGCACAGATCTTCAAGGGTCCTGAAACAATCCCTGATTACTCCGTAAGGGTCCAGAAAATCCAAATGGCGATCGCGGAATTGCCTCTGTCTTGAATCATGAATCTTGAGCTTATGGGCCCCACTGTCCATGCTTCTAGGGCAAGTGTCCTTCTAGTCATTTCATCGTCGAATTCCAACTGCTCACTGAGGGTGTGGTTGACCTCGCCAGAAAAGCAGGATAGCATAGCAACCAATTCACATCATCTGTATTCCTATGTTGTCTCCACCTGAGTAATGGCATTTGTCAATCAGCCCGTTCCAGCGCATTTTCTCATCTTCCATTGTTTCCATTGCTTCCATTGCTTTGGGAAGGTTGATTTAAGGTGGTTAGCGTAAGATTTTGGTGTCCGACACACCCCTGTCGATTCAAATGAGGTCCGCTTATCCACCAAAACACATGAACAACCACGAGTTATGCGTATGGGTTCTGGGTGGGAAAGCTATAAGGCAGTCTGGATTGTCCATGAGCTGGATGGCCAGGAACTCAATGGATGGATGCGGCCATTGGGGACTTCTATAGATTCTGATCGTCTGGAAGCCCGGAAGGCCGCATGAAAAGCCGAATGTTGTCCAATCAGCAAATATTTCTGCTTCTATGTGCCTACATGGGGCTAAATACGAACCTTAGGAACGTGGAGCCATCAAGTACAGAATTGATGTGTGTTTCGATGTCAGTGTCACGCACCCCTGGGCCATTTGCTGTTCAAACTGTTCGTAACCTGGTAGATCTGAGATCCTGACCTCTACGATTAATATTCATTTAGGTACAGAATACTATTCGCAGAGGACTTTGACGACGTTGATTCTAAGCCATGTACTCTAGAGAGGGATCTGTTGAACCGCATCGGCGTCGCGTCATGCTCACTCGATCCCTGCAGGTGTCCCACAGCTCAAAGCATGCGGCTCAAATGCACTGGCGGAATGGGGATTTCTATTTTCCAGGATGTATTCATGCCTAGGGAATGATCCTGCACTCATTTTGCCCTCCTATGCTCCGTACCTCAACTCCAGCCCTTACTGAGCGGAGGGCCAATGTCCCCCCAATCAGGCACCCTAACAGCTTGGAGCATTGAAAATTCATATACACAGAGGAGATAAAGGCGCTTCATGCATCTAATCACAATCATTACTATTCTATGTCGCTGATGAGTGAAATGGCCGTGATTTTCGTTTTTTCAACCGCAGTATCAACAACCGATATTCTGCGACAAATCTCGTGCCTTTTTGGCGATTGAGGCTCGCTCTACCGAATCCCGCCACGAAATTGGTATCTGAGAGACCCCCATTGCGAGTTCATCGATATCCGAAATTCCCCATGCAAGATACAATCGGCTTACCCAGTAATACAGGGATATAAAAGGTACTCATACAACCTCCCGTACGGTCGATACTCATATTTTCCCATACAAACTGCGCCCGAAAATGTGGGAGGCAGCTTCCGCAGACCACGGCAGATCGGGTAAACAAATATGACCTGCCCTATGCAGCACCATCCCTTCCGAAATGGATGGTAAACTCATGTGGAGGGAAGCCACCACAGCGACTTTCAGGCCATCGATTGCCGTGTTTGACAACCCATGAGCCCCGAAGGCAGCTTCCTTCGCTGGCCGTGAGAGGGCAATATAAAAGCCGGCCTCCCGCCTGCGCATCTTCCACTTCCTTTCTCTCCTCTCTCCATCTCTCTGGGTTTTCCTCCTGTTCCCCTTTTTATATCACGTGAACACTCTTGCCCTAATCCGTGTACCCTTGGCCTTGACCATCTAACCCGTATAGAGATTCATCTCCCACATACACTCCTCTACTTTTTGTTTTCATTTTGTGTTTGTCCTTTTGTTATTGTGTGCTTGTATTTTCATTTCTTTTTCTGTTTTTGTGTTTTATCTTTGCCTTTTGTTGTTCTCCTCTTTCTTGATACGCTGGAGTACTAGTAGCCATGACAGGCTTACATATTCCAGGTATCCCTACTCGGCCAAACAGTCAGGCCGCAAGGAAGCACAATGGACCAGTCTTTAAGACCATCCCCAAGCGCCTAACCTACAGAGAGGTAGGCATACCGCACTCATTCTCGTCCTCTGCTGGTTCTTCTGCTTCCTCTTCCTCTTCCTCTTCCTCTTCCACTTATCCTCGTTGTTGCTCTTATACCTCTTCTTCTATTGAGTCTGTTCCTCGTCCTGCTGCTGCCGTCCCTCGTTCTTCGACAAGTCGTTCCACTCGCCCTTCCCCTCGTGTTGTTTCCCGTTCCCGTCCTCAATCTGGTGAGGTTTCCCGCCCTTGTGCGCCTATCCCTCCTTCTCGCTTCTCCACTCTTTCGAATGCTCAGCGCCTTTTGTCGCCTCGCTCCTCCGGGTCGATTTCGACCACTTTTCCTCACGCTGGCCTCCTTGTTATTCCCCGCACCCGTCCCCGAGCAGGGGATGGGGCCATGCCCTCTTCTCGATATTCCACCCGTTCTTCCCCTCCTCCCCGCCCTTCTGGTCCTATCCCCTGGTCCCGAGGCCCCCTTCTTTCAACCCACCAATCCCTCCGCCGCTCCGTCGGTTCTCCTCCTTCTAGCCGCTATTTAGCTCCGGTCATTTCTCCTACAGATTCCACTCTCTCAAAACGCCGGCACCTTTATGTTTCCATTCGTTCATCTAGGACGACTTCTAGCAATTCCACTCGTTCTGATTCATTCCCCTCCGCTCGTTGTTTTATATCCGCTGCTCTCAAAGCAGCTATCTCACGCTCCTCACCAGATCCCCAAGCCCCTCCTGTTTCTGTTTCTGTCTCTGCTGGTTCATCTTCCACTGCTTCCACGCGTTCTGGTCCGCTCCTTTCTTCTCCTCCTATCCCGACTGTTCGCTTTGGCCACCCAGGGAATCGTCTTGCTGCCGCCCCCGAAGTCGCTCGCCGCCGTCAACACGCGCAGCTGTGTTCTAACAGTTCGAGTGCTTCGATACCTGTTTCTTCTAGCCATGGATCCAAAGATAGAAGTGCCCGAACTCGTGCCTATTCTCGGCAAAACGCTAAGTCGTCTAGATCAGTCAAGTTCGGAGGTTCCACGGTGCACGAAGTCAATCGATGGATTCACCCAGGGCTACATAGTCAGCGAGATCCCCCGACGGTCGTCGGCAAATTGGTAGGCTGGTCTGTCACTCCCCTGGAAAAACCGGAGGACGACGAATGCTCTAAGTATACGACTTATAAGCCAACTCACTCACACTCATTCACCTGGAACCCCATGTGGACGCTCTTTTTGCTCCTGGAACGCCCTCGCTGACGTTCGGAGTGACCTTTGCATGGTCGCTCGTCTGAACCCCCACAATCCTTCCATCTCGGTCCCGACTGGACTTGTTTTCGAAGAGTTCAACAGAAGAAGAACAAAAATGAGAGAAGGTGGAAAGTTCCATCTTTGATTTGAAACTGCGCTCATCTCCTCCCCAACAAATCCAAACCAAAAAAAAAAAAAAAAAAAAAAAAAAGTTAAAGCATCTTGAAGTATCTCGGACGACCAATCCACTCCTGTTTTGCCATTCTTTTAGCAATATTAAATAAAGTTGCATTTTCCTCAGTGTTTTTTCTTTCCTTGTGTTCTGTTCCTTTTTTTCTTTGCCTGTTT